GACGAAGAAGAAGGGAAAAGCGTACCACCAACCCAATCCCCGGGGGCTCCTTGGACGGCGCTTGCGGTACCCTACGACGAAGCAAATACAGGGAGCGTAAGAATGAGTGAATAAATGAAAATAGGATAGGGGAGGTGGGCGTGTGCACCAGTTGATGTCGACGTTATCGAAGAGCTCGTCGATCTTTCGGTCTATGACCTCGAACATGCGCTTCTCGGCATTCTCGCGCAGTGCGTCGAACATTGACCGACTCAGCGGAGAGGCCTCGGCGCCCAGATATCTGCGTGCCAACAACTGGTGAGTGAATGCCAATGCAGTGGGCACATGAGCAGCCTCTGCTCGATCATGTGTATGATGATGATGATGAGGTTCAGCTCGTACTTGAAGGAGGCGATGTAGGCTTCGAAAATGTTGCAGCAGTTCTTCATGTAGGGAAGGCTCAGGGAGAGCTGCACCAACGACGAAACGTTGCTGTTGCTCGAGTCCATCATCTGCTTGCTGATTGTGCTGCACATCACCTTCAACAGCAGCTCCGTTCCCTGAATTGTGCAACCGCCATATCGTTGAGCACGTGAGTTTTTGGTTGTTCAAAAGAGAGAGAGAGAGATGATCAAGTGAGCAGGGGGGGGGCGCACCTTCTTTACAAACTCGTCTGTGTCGGCGAAAAGGTCCTTGGAGAACTCGTAGTAGGTCTTGATGAAGTGCTTCACGATCGACACGCAGTTGGGCACAAACGCGCAAAAGGGGAACTTCATCGGCAGTCTGGCGAGGTGGCCGAAACACGCACCCTCGTGGTGAGAATGTGCGCTCAGCTTTGTGCCTGGCGGAATGCACTTTGCGGGGGGGCAGTACCGCAACTGGTGCGGGAAGATCTGGTCCAGGTTGTTGTCGAGGATCATGAGCTGGTACTCCTCTTCGTCGGCTATGTACAGCGGTTGGAAGGTTTCCCTTTCCATCACCTGTGTCGTGTATCGTGTTGTGTGTGTGTGTGTGTGTGTGTGGTCAGCACAAAGTCAACGAGGTGTGAGGAGGAGGAGGGAATGATGGGCATACCGTGAGGAACTCCTCGCGATAGGACTGGGTGGCAAGGTCGATGTACTTGTCGCGCATGTTCTTGAAAAAGTCCTGCATCAACGTCACGTCGTACCCGTAGGCGCTGATGGTGCGCGTGAAGAGGAACACAAAGTCCCGCAGCTGCTGCAGCACCACCACGTCCCTGCAGTACGTGGTCACCTGCTCCTGCAACGCCGCGCGGATTCGGTGCGCGGCCGTCTCCCACCAGCCTTTCACCTAACAACACGCCGAGTGTCAGCCCAGCTTTGGCTAGATGCTGCGCGCGAAGCTAAGGTTGTGTTCGCGTACCGTGGAGGGCGAGATGAGATTCTGGGTGGTGTGCCACACGTGTGCTTCGACGATGAAGAAGCCCGTGATCTGGTAAAAGTAGGACTCGTAGGCTCGCCTGCTCGCCAGGAAGGCCGGCCCGGCGGGACCCTGCTGCACCAAGTGCGCTTGCAGCTGTGCGGTGTTCCAGCGAACACACGCGCACACACACCATCACACACACACACACACACACAAGACACGCCGCAAGGGTGAGTAAGTGGTGCGTGCAGCCAGCTAGCGGTAGTGTTTAGGTGTTGCCGGGAAGTAGCACGAACCTGGCGTGTGTATTGGTAGTAGTTCTCGAACTCGGTGAGCGACGACAGGTTTTCGTAGATGTGGATGCACTTGTACACGGGGGTGAACGTCACGCCCACTCGCTGGAATATTCCCACTGCCCTCCCAGCAACGTTAACGTCAATCGGCGCAACAACAGCGCAGCAGTTTTCTGTGCGTAGCAATACTCGCCAGCGTTTTGTTGAACAGAAGAACAGCAAGGCGTACCATCTTCATCGTCCTCGCTCTCTTGTCGGGTGGTGGGCCGGGAGGCTTCGCTGCCCTTCGCTGCACCGCGTCCCCGGGGCGTGGTGGCTTCCTTCTTTCGTCTCCGCTTCTTGTCTTCCTTCTCCTGGGCTACGCTCTCCGGCGCTTTGTACACGGTTTCCTGCGATCGTAGGACGGAGAGATAACTACGTCAACACCTTCCTTCGATGAAGGAGCGCGTAGTAGACGATTAATCTAATCGAGCGGACCTGCAGCTCCTGC